TTTAAAGGTTGTAAAGATTTGAAAATAAAATTAAACAAATAAAATTAAAATAGACCTGAGTTTTATTGCCATTAGTAGTTTCTGTGGAGGCATCAGTTTGTTGTTGGCTGTGATTAGCCACAACTAGTACGTACCCGTGCGATGCACGGGATGATATATTTTTTAGGTTTTGTATAATATCAACATTAAATTTAATGCATTTTGTGGATACGTAACATATATAAAATGAAAAAAAAAAACAAATTTAAAACTTCATAAATTAGTAAACACTTCTTTGTACACAACGTTTTGGGTCTGATTTGGTGGCAAGTCATCGTCATGACAGACTAATATCTCCTTTGTACAAAAATCCCTAATCATTTCCTTCAATTTCGATCTAAAGACTCTACAGACAATATCCGGCCGATCCTCTGGCCGTAATTTTCTCGGTTCATGAAAACGAACAATCTCTGGCCATTTCGGATTGCATGTAAAAGTAATAATCAAATCAGGATAACCGGTCCATCTACAAATAGCCATTGCATCTTGATAATTCTAAATCATATTCCGAGCACCCCCGGTGAACGAAGAAGGAACAATAACCCTCTTTCCTCGGGAACTGGGTTCCGTGTCACCACGAAGAACTGCATCGACCAAACCGTTATAGATATCACAACGGAGTTTCTTTTTATTGAACCGAATATATTGCAACCTCGATGATTCGACCATGGTATATGCATCAACAATAAACTGTTGATACAGTCTTCTTGTTGAAACAATAGTAGTCGGTTCATGGTCTCTATCATACATCCTGTAAGCAAAATACTTGCGGACACTGACATGTTTTTGTCCATCTTCACTTGTTTTTGTTCCTTCAGCGAAGAGTATGTCTTCTCGGTAACCATCCTCACCATAAGGCAACAATAGAAGATATTGTAGTGCCAGATAAGAAGCGTTAAGCTCATTTATACGCTTTAGAAGACCACTTTTGGTTTCAACCAATATGTCTCTCTCACCCATTGCTTGGTCAAAATTGCCAACAACTAACACAGTGGGTTCAGAACTGGTTGGCAAGTTATATCATTTGGCATCGTTATTTCTCCGACCAATCAGACGGACTCTAATATTAGCCTCCCCGAGCTCCTGCATTCTGTCTCTCGCTATACGAAATGATTTGACCAATTCATTATCTTGGTCTAACATTTGTTTAAACCCAGCAACAATAACCTCATGCAATTTGGCATCATCAAATCCTTTCCTGCCACATTAATTATATTGAACCGTAATGCAACAAAAAAAAAATCAATATTTTAAAGATTGTATATAAGATAATCAAAATTTAATATATATATATATATATATATATATATATATAACATAAAAAAAAGAAACTATCATATTTTTTGTAAAAAAATAATATACCTCACAATAATAATTCTGTTGGTAACTTCATTTTCAGTATCATATATGTAAAGTTGCGCAAACTTTGGAGTAGAACCTTCGGTAAAAGAAAACTACCAATCAAATGATAGTTTTGTCCATGCAAAGCAAAAACAGGCGGCCCTGACCCCTTATTGATACTCGCATCAATTTTACCGTCCATTGAAGTGAAACCAAACATGCTGTTGTAAGATATTATATTTTCTTGAAAATGTTTGCTCATGTGGCCATCTCCATAAAGTAATTATTTCAAAAATTGTGGAGGGTCTCTTACGGAAGGAAGCTCCACTAATTCATTAACACAACAACCAGTGTATTCCAGACAAACATGTTTTAAACGATGAGTCTTTCTTTCCTCCGCAATATTTAAAACAGTAGGTTGCATCTCCCATGTCCCAGTACTCTACAAATATAAAATAAATTAAATTTATTAGATATCAGATTATAATAAGACAATAATATATAAAATCATATTGATATTAAAAATAAATTACCAGATAATCTCGAGATTGATGCAAGATTCTTTCTAGGACGACCACACTTTCTTTTTTCAACAGTGGGTTGAATGGGATCATCTTCAGTTAAATCGATAACAACACTCGCATTTGGTACAACAGATGATCTAGACCGCTAAGACGATGAAATCGGGATTGGAGGAGTAACATTTGTATTCTCCTTTTTATCGTCACTCAAAATTTCTATGACGATACTATCCGAGCCATGAATATTGAAATTATTTGAGCTTTTCCCAACAAAGTTATGTTGGCCTGTATATTTAAATAATAATATAAAATTACACTTCAAAAGATCATAGAATATTCGGTGAGAAAATATTTATCAATATATATAAACTGGAATATAAATGCAATACCATTTGTAATATCGGAGAACGACATAGGATTTGAAGCATTCGATGAACTTCCCGATCCTATAATCATTTGACGTTTACTCAAAATTTTTCCAGTGCAAAAATCACAATCCATAGTACCTAGTCAACATAACACGATTGTATAAAAAATAATACACATTTCATATATTAAAATATTTATAATAAAAAAACTTTCAATGTGGACAAATTAGTAGAAATATTGGGATAATTAGTTAAGTAAAACTACAAAATTGTATTAAAAAATCAGCCCAATTAAAAAGAACAATCATTAAATGTTTGGGTTGCACATAAATTATTAAAAAAGGCCCAACATAAGCAGATTTATGTTTTAAAAATAAAGGCCCAATATTGTTTGTTACATTGTGAAATTTGGGATTTTAAGAAGAGGCCCAAACAATTATTACATCAGATCAATCCAACGGTTACTGTAGTTACACTTGTAATGATCGACGGCTGCAAATCATTTAGGGAGAGTATAAAATGGAAAGTTTTTCTGTAGGGTTTCACTTTATTCACCTCACCGTTTGCAGCCATCTTCTCAAAAATTCTGTCCAAATTCTCTGACCGAAAATTCACAAATTCATGCCATTTTTTAGCAAATTCTCATCAAATCCCGATAGTACTGTAAGATCTATGTCAGATTTAGATATATCGGCCCGAAAATTTTGATTATTACAGACATGCTTTTGTTATTTCGTATTCATTTCGAGCTTCATGCTTTATATTCCAAGATTCGCCCGAAACTCTTTAATTTTTCGAGCGTCATGTTTGTCGGCCGTCGGGTTTCTGCCGAAAATAATAATGATAACATTCGGCAACTATTCGAAGGTTTGTTATTTTTTTTCAAATTGTTTTGAAATCGACAATTAATTTTGACTTGTCAATACCAGATCTGTCATACAATTTTCAAATACCTATCAATCATATAGTTTTATCAAATTTTGTACTGATAATTTATATGCTATGCTGTTTAAGTATATTTTTGGTTTGGTTTTACATTTTATAATCAGATTCTTTTCATTCTCGTATAATCGTTTGCAAGCATGGACCGGTTTGAAGATTCACGGCGAAATAGAAGGCAAACTGTCAATGTGAGGTCGAACATTGAACGGGTTAAAAATTACGATTCACGATCAAGAACAACAAAGACTACACGCGAAGGTTCGACTTTTTTTTTTTATTTAGTTTTTGCAATCGTGCATATATATTAGGTTTTTCGATATTTTCTTACAATATGATGTTAAATTGAAAGGGAAAAAAAACAAATTCGAGAATGAGAGCCGCGGTAAAGTTCGTTCGGAAGTTGAGGAAAAATGCAACAATCACCCATATACTAAAGGTTCGTGAAATGAGAAATTGATCAATATATAACAAAACTTATAACCTATGTTTCATCATGTTCAGTTTAATTAGATATACATTAATAATAAAATAAGATATAAAACAACTATACAACTATTAGTCATTATATTCAATTTGTATTTTTTTTTTTTTTTTTTTTT